ATCCACCGGCTAGGAGCTAACGGGCCAACGGGCATCAACATTTTAACAAGTTTTCCATAATTCATTGGCTCAATTTTGACCATTTAGAAGTCCATGACTAATATTGAGTTTATACTTTCCAAAAGGTTGAACTCCAACCCTAAGGGCTCCCCACACCCTGGTCTGACAGAGCATCTGGAAGGATGTAAATCATGGTAATTCAACTGAACATGAACCACAGAGACTAGACCTTTGTTTACTGCGCACAAGAAGCTCCCTCACTTTGAGAGTTTATTTTTTATGCAATTTATGTATGAGATATGTGAATATGTTGCATGAGTAAAATGAAACACTAATTAAATTTTAAAATCTTCCCTGAATTAAAATATTAAGTTGTAAACGGTTAGGTCTCAAGATCGAGTTGAGACTACCTAATCGTGGCTCTCCACCATCATAACAAATCTAGTATCTAGCATGGTGCCGCCTATGCCAAATAGAGCTAACGTGTCAGTCTAAAATATTTTGATTTTTTTTATTTTTATTTTGCACATGATATGGTAACACTTAAAAAGTTTACTTTTGAAGATATCTTTTATACGGTGTTTGGTTGGATGTAATTGAAATTCCTTTCCTACTTTATTCCATGGCAAAGCAAATTACAGTGTTTGGTTGGAGGGAATTGCAATTCCACGGAGTTGTAATTCCCTCCTTTTGCTGAATTGTAATTCATGGGCACCCACCCCCCCCCCCCCCCTATGAATTGCAATTCGGTGGTTGTGGGAAAAGGAAAAAGGGAGAAAATGACAAAAGCACCTTTGGTTATTATTACTATTATTATTACACAATGACATTTTAGTCTTTATATTACTCATTTTCTTCCCATTTCTTATAATTCTATTCATCCCTACCAAACAATGTAATTTGAATTCAAACTTTATTTCCACCTTATTCTTTTCCCACCGAATTACAATTCCTTTCCACCCTAATTCCTTCCTTCCAACCAAACGCCCTGTTAATGTCAGAAAAGTTAAAGTTCAACTATATGTGTTACTAGGATGATGAGTTTGACTTAACTAAGTCAAGTGGGCCAAGATGTTCCTTAAGGTAAGGTTCAATGAGCTAGTCATGGAGCCCAATTTTAAATAAAATCAAATCATACATGAGAATATGAGATGTATTGGCAAGCAATTTGTATCATGGACGACCAGGGTCCATATAGCATTATAGACTCTGAATTGAAATGACGAGGTACATAATTCATATTAGAAGGTACACTATTTCATAACATAAGACACAAAAAATCACAACACATTACACATGCACATGTTATTATATATTTACTTATTTTTCAAATCTGATTTAGGTACATAATTTGTGATCATATGTGCAGAATTTCACAACACAAAACACAGTTACTAATTTGTTTCAGGTACAGAATTTATATTCTTAAAGTACAAAATTTCATAACACGAAACACAAAATTAAAACGTACAACATATAACACATACACATGCACCAGGGTCCACATTGCACTGTGAACCATGGTCCATGGTATAAGGATTGGTATTTGCAAGAGTTGGCCACTTTTTCAAATTCAAAGATACCCCTTAGGGGGCTATTGGTTCACGGGATCTTAGATTACCCTAGGTAAGAGGATTACCTGTAGGAAGGTAATGTGGATATTGGGTACGTAAGATTAGCTTATGTGTTTAGTTTGGACTGTGGAATATAAATTGTCTTTTTTGGTTAAGGGTTATATTTTAAGTTATATGGATCAATTTACAATAATATCCTCAATATATATATATATATATATATATATATATATATATATATATATATATATATATATATTTATCAAATGCAAGAAGCTTAAGTTACTGAGAGAAAACCAAGTATCAGCGGGAACGCAAGCATACAGCATAGCGCAGCTCATAAGCTCTACTGACAATCCTTGCTCCATTGTAATTACTGCCATTATATTTCTGCACCAAAAACCGTGGTTAAATACAGCCCAAATCTACTTACAACAAAGTAAAGCAATAAAGTAGCATGAGTGCATTATTCTGTACAGTCCTCAATATACCCTTTCCTATCCTCGAATTAGTTTTCCCCTACAGAAAAAGATATTTTCACTCCTTACACTTGCCTATGAAGTTACTTTGTGCCATACACTGATATTCTGTCAAGATATTTCCAATAGCTTTGCAACAGTTGACCGAGGAAGATTATCAATCATCCTTATTTTGACATTTTGCTTTCATCAGTAATATGAAAGAAAAAAAACATAAATCTATCTTCATCTGATGGTTTATCTACACACAAGCTGCGAAAAGAAAACATAGTTTGATCCATTGAAGCAATAAATTATAAAGTCTAACATGTTGAACAAAAGAGATTGTAGTTGGACACGAGTTATCAACACCCAAAATACAAAAGGAATGAAAGCTAAGGTCCACTAAAAAAGCTTCACATATACTCCATGGGCACTCCTAAAACGATAATTTTCAAGTCTAAAGCATCTAGAAGATAGTTGGTCCACAGATAGAATGTGTAGACAAAAAATATTTTCAGAAATGACTAAAGCAAGAGATGATATATAAAATCTCCTAGTCAAAGTACTACAGATTACAATAAATCAAGAGAAAATAAGTTATTATGGTTATGAGATAAAGCAGAACAATGTTAAGTTAACAAAATTTCAGTCAACAAGGCATAACATATGCACACACCTAATTCACCCACCGCACAACACACCAATGCGCCAAAGGCCGACCATCGCCGGCGCCAGAGGCCGACAATTGCCGGACTCAATAAAGCACTGGTGAGTGCCGACAACTGCCGGCGCCACAACCCAAAAACGACTAACATACACACATCCCGTGCCGTCCAGAAACCAACCCTACCCGCCACCAAACCCACCGTTCGGCCATGGAGAAACCCCAAAGACGAACATCAATAAACCAAGAAAGTAAGAAGAAAAAACAAATGAGTAGGAAAATACCTTGAACAACACTGGTAGAAGTACTTATTCGACGCTTAGACCGCCTGATGGAGGAACCAGCCATGGAGATTCGAGTACTACGGCTACCGGCTGGAAGAATTTCACGATGCTGGGCGACGACTGTTATTCTGCGATTTCACCGAGAATAATGGCGTAGCTGCGACTTTTGAATCCAAAATAACACATAACGCATAATAAGGAAATAAAAATCCTAACTGATTTTGACACGAAAATTCAATAAATGCACCTATAAAATTACATCAATACCCCTTAGGTATATTCCATACGCCATTTACAAATAAAACAAACTATAAATCTAGATCGTTAAAATATAGAAATAGATGCTTAGGATCGAATCTCACGATCTCACTTAATTTGGGTGGTCTCACTAGATCCAAAATTCATATATATATATATATATATATATATATATATATATATATATATATATATATATGTGTGTGTGTGTGTGTGTGTGTGTGTGTGTGTGTGTGTGTGTGTGTGTGTGTGTGTGTGTGTGTGTGTGTGTGTGTGTGTGTGTGTGTGTGTGTGTTCAGGTTCAGGTGCATTTAAGTGTTTTCCGTGCGTTTGTGCGGGTGATTAATGTGCGCGATGATAGGGATATACGCCCGGGTCCCGAATGTCCCACGAGCGGGTAACCGCCCGACCCTCGCAGCAAGGCCGTATGGCCTGCCCCGACCGACCACGACCGGGAAGTTCGGGAGTGCTACGGGCGACGGCGTCCCTCCGGGACTCCGCCGGTAGGCGGTCGGACCCGCCGGAGGATGCCAGTCGGGGTCCAGTGAGTAAGACGCAGCCGAAGGGGAAAGAAGTCAGATCTTAGGCGCCGCGTGGCAGACGGCCACGCGACCCCGGACAACACCCGGTGCATGCTCGCCACGTGTCCGACATGCCGGAGGCCCGGCGCCACCCACTTTTATACCCTATAAATAGCGCATTAAATGCATTGTGAAAGGGACTTTTGGCACGAGACAAGATCAGAGCTTCCCGACCAGACACTGGGGACCCGGGCCTTGTCCACGCCTGTATAAATACACCATCCTGTATTATCGATATCATTTTGGCTCCGTCTGTGGGGATCGAACTGAAAGTCGCCCGGCAAAAGCGAAACCGATCCCTAAAAATGTTCCCTTTCATGGACTTCAACAACGACGCGGAAGCCGAAGAGAGCTCATCGGTTCTCCGCTCACAGATGAATCCACGAGTGGACCTCAATACACCGCCGGGAAGAGGGCTAACCCCAGACCCGGTTAATTTCATCTAACCCGGACTAGCATTCCCAGGCGTGCCGGGACAAATGCCATTCCAGTACCCGATATATCCTGCCGGAATGCTCTATCCCGCTTACCCGTATTGGCAGAGCCCACAGCGATTCTTCAGAACCCAGTATCAGTACCCCCCGGCCCCGGGCGTCTATCAGCCGTACATGCCGATGCCAGTACCAAACATGCCGAACGTGCCCGAACTGGGCCAATCAGTAGCGTCGGCACCGGCGGCGGCACCCGAGCTCCGACGAGCCCAATCCGAGTGACGACCCGCCCGATCAAGACTGGGACCGGGAGGAGCACAAGAGCGGGGGGCTGAAGAAGCCCCTGCGAGAACGAGTGCTTTCGTACGCCTCCAGGCGTTCTTGCATCAGCGGGTCGGAGCCCGACAAGAGGTGGAGGAATCCGTAAACGCCCCAATATCCGGCCATAAGGAGGCATCCGGAGAAGCCAGTAGTTGTCGGTCCAAGAGGCTGGCTCGACGAGCTGCCGACTGAGAGGACCCGCAAAACGAGGCCAAAGGACTGTTGCAACAAGTCCGAGAAGAGTTCAGCAAGTGGAAGCGAGAGCACGGCCACCTATCATCCGAACCTGAAGCGCCCCTATTGCGCAACCCGTTCACGGCTGATATCATGAGCATGCCGTACCCCCATGACTTGCGCATACCGGGAAATAAAGGTTAGGATGGGAAAACCGACCCTGAGGCCCACATCAACTCCTACTACGGAAACATGCTGATGATGGGAGTGACCGACGCTGTGATGTGTCGGGCCTTCTATTCCACCTTGTCAGGAAGGGCGGCCGATTGGTTCAAGACACTAGAACCCGGCTCAATCGCATGTTTCGCAGAGTTAGCGAAGAAATTTGTGCACAAGTTCGCCACATCCAAAGAAGTGCGAAAACACTTCACGTACCTTGAGAAAGCCAAGCAGCTGGAGGGCAAATCTCTGACCGACTTCCTGGTCAAATGGAAAGCCGTGATCGGCGAAGTCGAACCTCTTGACGATCGGACAGCGATCAACGTGCTTCACTCCAATTTGCGAGCAGGGGCCCTATATCAAGAGTTCATTCTGCATCCCCCGACCACCTATGATGAAGCAATCTGACGAATGACCGACTACACCAATGCGGGCGAAGCAAACTTCGCAAAGAGACAACAGGAAGCCGGGGGCAGCCGGAAACCACCGGGCTGGCAGGACGGTGGACGGTCGAACGATAGACCCGGTAGAAGCCGGGGAAGGCTGCCCGACTTCACACCCTTAAACAGGCCGGCAGTCGACGTCCTCCGCTTCGCACAATCTTGCAACATGATCCAGCTTCCGGAACCTCAGTGCGAGGGCCGCGACAAGACGAAGTACTGCGCATACCATCGCAGCAAAGGACACGAGATGGAGGATTGCACCACTCTGAGGCAGGTGATAGAAGAGCTGCTGTGATCGGGCAAGCTCACCGAGTTCACCACCAAAAAAAGAGGAGAAAAAGTCAACCTGGAAGAACCCATTCAAGAAGTCGAACAAGAACAAAAAGGATAAGGACCATGACCGGGATCCCGATTCTCAACAATCGACTGGAAAGCAAGTTATCCATGTCATATTCGGTGGTCCAGAGGAAAACCCTGGCCCCCAGGAAAGATTTCCGATCGGGCTGATAGGGTCAGAGCCTAGTGATAAAAGGCAAAAGTTGGAACCAATCACGTTTACCCCGAGCGACATGCCCGAGTGGGAGGACTGCAAAACGGAAGCGTTGGTCGTCACAATCGATATCATGGGGACTGACGTCCAACGCGTCATGGTGGATACGGGCAGCAGTGTGAACGTCTTGTACATAGACGTCTTCCAGAAATTAAAGCTAGATCCAAGCGAGCTAACTCCGATCGGGACCCCTTTATCCAGATTCACTGGTGATACCATCCATCCGGAGGGAAAGATAACGTTGCCGGTGGAAATTGGCAACCGACCCCGAACGGTCAAAACCTTGATGGAATTCATTGTCGTCAACCTTCGATGCGTCCACAACGCCATCTTGGGAAGACCGGCGATTGTGTCGATCGGAGGAATCATCTCCATGCCCCACTTGTGTATGAAATTTCCGACCCCCGATAGAGTCGGGGTCGTCCGAGGAGACATCTGATCAGCAAGGAAGTGCTATCAAAAGGCGGTAGACCGAAAAGAAGCCTGGAACTTTCAAGTAAACTCAATCTCCAAAAAGGCAGAGGCCGAAAGGAAAGAACAACCGAAACCGTCGGATGAGGTCGAAGAGATCCCCCTAGAGCCCGGCCGGCCAGACAGGACGATCCGGATTAGTCGAAAGCTCTCCCCAACGATCAAGGAAGCCATCTTGACGATACTACGGTAATTCTCAGATATCTTCGCGTGGGGACCGGAGGACATGCCAGGAATAGACCGAGTAGTGATATGTCACCGGCTGGCTGTCAGCCCGGCAGCACGACCGGTGAAACAGAAGACAAGACACCTTTCTAACGACCATCGGGAATTCGTCAGGAGCGAAGTCAAGACCCTTGCCGAGATCGGACATCTCCGACCGGTCGTCTACCCCGATTGGGTTGCTAACGTTGTCTTAGTGCCCAAACCACCGACGTGGCGAATGTGCATCGAATACACGGACCTGAACAAGGCTTGTCCACTGGACCGGTACCCTCTCCCGAGTATACACCAGATGGTCGATGACACGGCAGGCGCGAACTTCATGAGTTTCATGGACGCATTTAGAGGTTACCATCAAATCTTGATGGCCGAAGAAGACGAAGCTAAGACGTCCTTCGTAACTCCGGTCGGACTCTTCTGTTATCGAGTCATGCCATTCGGACTCCGAAATGCCGGGGCTACGTACCAGAGGATGATCAATGCCTTATTCGAAGGACAGCTCGGGCGAACGATGGAGGCGTATGTGGACGACATGCTCGTGAAAAGTAAAGACCGGACGGATCACGCCCAGGATCTCCGAGCGTGTTTCGAGGTGATGCGCACATACCGGCTGCGATTAAACCCAGCAAAATGCACGTTCGCAGTACAGACCGGGAAGTTCCTGGGATTCATGATGACAAAGAAGGGAATTGAGCCCAACTCAGCTAAAGTGAAGGCTATCTTGGATATGCAACCGCCCACCACCGTCCGAGAAGTTCAACAGCTAACCGGGAGACTGGCTGCCCTCAGCCGATTCTTGTCTAAGCTAGCGGAAAAGGCGTTGCCTTTCTTTAAGACGCTAAAAAAGATCAATGGGTTTACTTGGGACGAGGAATGCCAAGCGGCGTTCAAGGAGTTGAAGGAGTACCTGATGTCCCCGATCGTCCTCTCTAAGCCGGAGCCTGGCAAAGACCTGGACATCTATCTTGCTGCCTCCGACCGAGCCGTAAGTGCCACACTATGCCGCACAGATCCCGACGGCGTACAACGACCGGTCTATTATGTCAGCCACGCTCTCCAAGGCCCGGAACTCAGATACTCCCGTTTAGAAAAGATAGTCCTCGCCCTCTACGCAGCTGTGAAGAAACTCACCCCTTACTTCCAAGGGCGAGTCATCCGTGTGCTAACCGACCAACCAATTGGAGCCGTCCTCCGCACGGCTTCCTCCTCCGGACGCCTTTTCAAATGGGCGATGATGTTAACACAGTTCGTGATTGAATACAGGACCCGCCCGGCCATTAAAGGACAGGCATTGGCGGATTTTGTCGTAGAATGTACTGCTCGTGAGGCCCCGACCGCGGACCAGCCGGCCCAAAACGCCTCATGGTGGGAAGTCGCCACCGATGGATCAAGTGTCGGAAAGGCTCGGGTGGAGGAGTTGTCATCACAAGCCCCGAAGGATTTAAGGTGTATTACGCCCTGATCTACCAGTTTTCTCCCACGAACAACGAGGCGGAGTATGAAGCCTTCGTCGCAGGACTACAATCGCAAGGGATCTCGGAGCAGACTGCGTACGGGCCCAGACGAACTCGTCCCTGGTGGTAGGACAGGTCTTGGGAGACTTCGAAGTCAATGGTGAACGTCTAGGGCGCTACCGAGACTTGGCGATCGAATGACTGACCGCTTTCAGAGCATACGCAGTACAACATGTTCCCCGGCTGGACAACGGCCGACGCGGACATCCTCTCAAAATTGAGTGTAGAAGCACCAGAACACATCTCCCGAGTGGCTCGGGTCCTCGTCATACCATACCCCTCCATCGACCACCAACATGTTATGCCCATCCAACCGGCCGAGGAGAATTGGATAACCGACATAATGGGATACCTAGAGGACGGCCAGCTTCCGGTTGATGAAGCAAGAGCCCGAAAGGCAAAGCTCCGAGCACCGAGGTTCTAGATAAAAGAAGGCCGCCTGTACAGACAGTCATATGGGGGTCCCCTCATGAGATGCTTATCCGATTTTGAGGCAAAACTAGTCATGGACGAGCTACACTCGGGAATATGCTCGTCGCACCAGGGCGGGCGGTTGCTTGCTCGACGAATAATGCTGATTGGATATTACTGGCCATCGATACAGCTCAACTGTGAAAAACTCACCAAGGAATGCAAGACCTGCCAAATATTTGCAAGGATGCCCTGACGACCGGCCACCTTCTATCAACCGGTCAGCACAGCCATCCCCTTCGCACGGTGGGGAGTAGACATCATAGGACCGTTTCCCCCGCTGTCGGGCCGACGGAAGTTTATCATAATCACCATAGACTACTTCTCTAAATGGGTGGAAGCGGAGCCCCTCGCAACGATCACATCACAACAATGTGCCCGGTTCATCTGGCGGAACGTGGTATCGAGGTTCGGAGTACCAGTGCAGATCGTAACGGACAACGGGAGGCAGTTTGAAGGACAACACTTCCAAAACTTCTTGGCGACGATCGGAACCAAGTCTATCCGCTCATCGGTCCCTTACCCCTAAGGGAACGGCTAGGTCGAAAATGCCAACCGAACCATCTTGGAGGGCCTGAAGAAAAAGCTCCACTCAACTGGCCGGTCGTGGGCGGATGAGCTCCCGTTAATCTTGTGGACATACCGCACCACGCCCAGAGAAGCGACTGGCGAAACGCCCTTTGCTTTGGTTTATGGAGCCGAAGCCCACCTGCCGGTCGAAGCTTGGATAGCAACTCCGAGAGAGTGTGAGTATGAAGAAGAAGAAAATGATGCGGCCCGGACCTTAGATCTGGACTGTATTGAAGAAAGAAGGGAGTTGGCGGCCCGGAGAGTCGCCGACTACCAGAAAAGGATCAAAGCAACCCGCGACGTCCGAGTCCGGTCGCGTTACTTTCAAGTCGGCGACTATGTGCTAAGAAGACGCGAAGCTAGCCAACCTCAAGAAGGAGGAAAATTAGCGCAGAACTGGGAAGGCCCGTACGTGGTGTCAGCAGTGGTACGCCCGGGCACCTACAAGCTGGAAACGACCACTGGCCGCTCGATCGACCAGACCTGGAACTCGGAGAATTTAGTGATGTTTCGACAGTAGAATGTAGTAGACAATGTTGTAATTTCCCGTTTTTCTTTTCTCCCCGTCCGTCCCTGTTGTATTTTTATTTTATCTTCGAGACCATCTGAGCTGGCTCGAATGCTTGTAAGGTTGCTACCTGGATGCCCGCAATGAGAATTACTCTTTCGCTAAAGACAACACGTTGTGACCGGAACCGGCTTATGGCCTTCATTGCTCGAACGACCATAATGTCGCTTAAACTTATGGCCTTCGTTGCCCGAACGACCACAATGTCGCTTAAACTTATGGCCTTCGTTGCCCGAACGACCACAATGTCGCTTAAACTTATGGCCTTCGTTGCCCGAACGACCACAATGTCGCTTAAACTTATTGCCTTTTGTTGGCGAGTCCGACTGGCAATTGACCGACCGTCATAGCCGCTCGGACTCGGGGGGCTATACACGCGTTTTTTCGCATTTGCCTCCCTTCCTTTAGTAGTCCGATCGGCAATTGACCGACCGTCACAGCCGCTCGGACTCGGGGGGCTATACACACGTTTTTTCGCGTTTGCCTCCTTTCCTTAGTAGTCCGACCGGCAATCGACCAACCGTCATAGCCGCTCGGACTCGGGGGGCTATACACGCATTTTTCGCGTTTGTCTCCTTTCCTTAGTAGTCCAACCGGCA